CCCCCCCCCCCCACCGCCAGGGCCTCACCGTGGCTCGCGTGACCCAGACCGCTGCCTGCAGCAACACAGAGTGCCTGGGGGGTCTGGGGGCCCAGAGCACCCGAGCCAGGCGTGGGAGATGGGCGGAGCAGGGCCTCGGCTCCCCACCTGCCCCAGACCCACTGCTCACTTTGGGTCTGGGGCCTTGGCTCCTGCAGGACAGTGGACCGTGTCCCTGTGGCAGCCTCCACCTGCCTGACAGGTTACACCGAAGGTGACACACTTCCCCAGAGAGGCCCCTCAGCCTGGCCTCTAGCGAGAGAAGTCCCCCGGAGAAAACGATGCTCTCGTTGGGCATCCGCGGAAAAGGCTTTCTCGGTGCCGGCACGGAGGGGCAGCTCTGAGAACGGTGCCTGGAGGCAAAGCACAGCCTCTCACCCCCGGGGGACCCTCTCGTGTCTCCCTAAAGCCTCTCTGGCTGGAGTCGCTTCCAGAAGGTCCCCACCCAACGCGAGAGGCTGGTTTGGAGGCCACCAACACTGGAGGAGGGGACGGGACTGAGCGCCTCCAGAGGCTCCGTCCCTTTCAGGGCCCGCTGGCCCACACGCAAGTGTTTCTTTCAAAGGCAGCCACACATGGAGACGGACCTAGAGTATATTTGCAAGGCACAAACTATTTTTAAAAGATTACAATGTTGTGTCTTTTTAAACTTGCTGTCCACCTAGTAGTGTTGCGGGCTCACAATCTACTCCATGCTCAGGAAAACACCCCTGTTCCTGCGGCGGCAGATGCGGGGAGGCCCCTGTGAGGCCGGAGCCAGAGCCGCTCTCTTCTGCTTCGGCAGCACAGCGTCAGAGGCCAAGCGCACACACTTCGTCCCGGAGGCTTGGGAGGCTGGCCCGGTCAGGAAGGTGCTGGGGTCCAGCCCCTGGAGGAGCTTCCTGGGGCCCCGCCAGCCCCTCGCTGCAGGCCCGCAGGTCTCCCGTCACGTAGGAGCACGCAGGCCTGACCAGGGCTCGGTCCTGCCTCTCGGCGTCCGGGGACCTTGCAGGTCTAGGCTGTGGTCCTGGCCCGGAGGTACTCGGGGTCGCAGACGTCAGGGTGCTGCAGAGAGTGAGAGGACGCTCAAGGGCAGGACGGGATGGCGGCCAGCTCCTCCCACCCTCGGCGGGCCCTCCCCCACCGCCCCTTCCGCAGTGGGCAGGCCCGCGGGGGCCTCCAGGCGGCAACCAAGCTCCCAGCACGGCCCAGCACGCCGCGCAGGGCCAGGAGGAAGGCAAGGAACCCCCCGCAGGAAGAGAGCGCCCACGGAGGCCTGCCGGCTTCCCCGCGCCCCCAGCGGCTGGCTGGGTGGCTGAAGAGGACGTAATTTACAGCGTTCAGAAGTTTTCTTTTTTGGCTGAGACGTTTGTGAAGCCCAGCTGGGAAAGTGACTGCCGCAAACTGTCTACACGCACAGCTCATTCGCTCGTGTTTATTTCACGTCCGCGGACACACGGCCAGTGTGCGAGTCTCGAGCTGTGACAGTGACAAGAGAACAGCCAAAAACCAACAGTAAACCAAAACATGATTTTCTTAAAGTGATAAATTAACAATACTGGTATTAAAGCTTCACTAATTACTGTAACAGTTATAAGAACTTAATTTATCAACATTTCATGGTAGGAAGGCTCTTTATCAAATTTATTCAAGAAATTAGACGAAAATATAAAAAAGGAAATACATATTTTACTTTTGATTTTCGTTAAAGGTAAATGATCATACAATTTTATACAAGGTCACCTAACATAGCAGTCTCTAATAAACTTAGGTATACAGAAATAAAAAGATGCAGGAAATTTTTCCTTTTACACTTTGAAATTGAGAGACAGCAGTGTGAGCACAACACGAAGTCATCTAACAGGTGCAGCAACGAATCAGAGTTAATACCAGGGGGACTGTGCTCTCCGTGGGGGAGGGGCATTTTCACACAGCTTTGAACTTGGGCTCTGAGCACAAGTGCTTTGCAGTGTGAGCCCCGGACTCCGCTCTCTTCTCTCGCGGGCCATCCCTGGGGTCACGGAGCTGAGCCCCTCGGTGACCTGAACAGATGACAGTCCCCAGCAGCCCACGGTGACAGGCGTGCTGGACAAGGAGGGCCTGGCCGCTGGGCCCTGCTGGGTTCCCAGGATGGCTGGCACCGCCTGGTTACTTATTAGGCCCACAACACACGTGCAGGGGTCCCCTCGTGGAAGGAAAGCCCAACAGTGGACACCCCCAGCAGTGCTGGGAAGTCAATCAGGGGCCACTGGCCGGGTGACATTGGCTGAGCCCTTGGGCACAGAAGGGATGCTGTGCTCCGTGTGTCTCTCCCAGAAAAGCCAGTCGGACTCTGCTTCTAGGTCTTCCGTGGACAGTGCGGTACATGAATGCGGCATCTGGGTTTCCCAACGGATTTCTTCTCCAGCCCTCCCTGACCCAGTGACCTTTCCCCTCACACTTGAGCTTCCCCAACAAAAAACCCAAACACCTCTCTGCCGAGGCCGGAGGTGAGGAGAGCCCTGTACACAAGTGAGGATGTCTGATAAAGCAGCTTCACCAACTTCCATGCCAACTCAACACTTGACAGGGTCTTAGAAATTCCAGATGCACCTCAGGAAGTGGGGTGACTGGGGGAACGGGGGAACTTGCCAGCTAGGACTTGGGTGTTAGGCCAAACACTGAAGCAGGACACCTGAGTCCCACTGGGATGTGTGCACATGCCCATAAAGACTGGTACAGACAGTTCCAGGACGTTTTGTTCCTTGTGGCTTCTGAGTGACTGGGGCAGTAGTGGGGACAGCTTACTTCTGTTTTCCACTCCTCCCCTGTCCTATCCCAAGTACTGATCCTCAGTCCCAAGGCAGTGGCTCACAGAACACTTCCAAAATGCTCTAGGAGGTTCGATCAGCACAAAAGACAAAACTAAGATTCTTTACCACGATCTTAAGCGAACTTAGAACCCAAAGTTACCGATTATTTTTAAAGAGTGTGCCTACTCCCTCTTACACATTTGCTTTTAAAAGAAGGCAGGGTTTTCCAAAGGCTTCCTTCTCCAGCCCTCTTCAGGGATTTTAATCCCCGTGCCCCTGAGGAAGAGGAGAACCTAAGGGAAGGGCTGGGGTGGCCCGAAGTCACAGCAGGGCAGAGCGGCGGGGAGGACCGCGGCGGCGCAGGGCCCGCGCCCCTGCACACAGGCCAGGAGGGAGCTGGGTTCCAGCACCACCTGAGCTTCCGTCCGCGCTTTCGTCCGCTCAGGAGCAGCCTCCTTCCAGAGGTTTTCTTCCAGAGGTTGGTTTAGAAAAGATATTCTTGCTCAGGACAACGCTGAAGCGAGAACACTTGGAAGAGTTTCAGTGAGGAAGCTCAAAGCCTGGTGAGGACACTAGAACAGCGCTCCCCAGATGTGCGCTCAGGGCTGCCGCAGAAGCTGTCTGGCCCTGGGAGACCAGGACCCCGCGGGCCCCCCCCCCCAGCGCCCCAGGGCTGCAGGAGCCAGCCCGAGGGAGGGCCCGCCCGCCCCTCCAGTGCCCTCAAGCGGGGGGCGGGGTGGGGGGGCAGCTCTAGTCCCGGTCGCGAAGAACACCTTGCATTCTGTCCCCCGACTGCAGGACAGGTGATCTGCTGACTGGTGAACAAAGGGGCGGGCGTCAGAAGGGCCGCGGCGCAGCCCCTCCCCGGTACCTGCCACCCAGCAACGGGCCCCAAAGCGGGGGCGGGCAGATGTTAAGGACACAATCACCAGCAGAAACGGGAAGAACACGATTGTGACCAAGCCCCAAATCCCGAACTGGGACATGACCATGGTTTTTAAAACTGGGGTGGGAGTGGGGGGGGGGAGACACCACGGGCTCCTGTCAGCATATTTCAGAGCTTGATTTTAGGGGAACAATAATCTCCTCCTCTTGCCTCTCCCACCCCCAGTGCCCCCGAGCCATCCCTCCTTTACCGCAGCGCGTGCAGCGGAGGGCGCCAGAGGGTGACCGGGGTCAGAAAGCGCGCACACTACAGCTTCCCTGCCGGCAATGCAGCAAGCAATGCACTCAGAACCGAAAGGTCACCAGAAGCTTCCCATGAAGGCTACTTACCTGGGATCGGCCACTGCCTGGGCCAAATTCTAAGTTCTGAATTTTGAAACTGCATACTCAATGCCTCAGAAGCATTTGAACTGAAATTTCTAAAACTATGTAGGTACCGAAAATTGCACCTGGAGTGTTGGTTCTGATTCTCTCCATCTGATGTCCCAATTTAGCCTCCAAAGTTGAAACAGTCCACAAGGATGGCTGTCTTTGCTGCCTTAGGTCACTTAACATTTAGGAACAAAGGACCACATCTTAAGAGTAAACAGGACATTAACACATACCATGATGTCATGCATAAACGGGGGGGGGGGGGGGTGCACCTGGAAGGCCAGCACGCCCCTCACGTGGTGGAACACTGTTACTGGTAACAGAAAGCCCTCCCAGGGAAGGAGCAGGGTGGGTAGAGTGAGCTGGGGGGAGGGTGGGGGCAGTAGGCCCGGGGAAGCGGGGTCCGGCCTTCCGGGAGGGCTGCAGGCCGCGTTCGAGCACACAGAGCTGCACGCTGCAGAGAAATGAGTCTCGTGTCCACTTTGCTGATTCGCATCCACTACTCAAACGAGTGTAAACGATCAGCATCTCTACATTTAATGACAAAGGTGTGCAAAACAGAAAACAAACCAAAATGACCAAAATAAGTTAACAAATAAGATAACCATCATCTTGACATAAACTATGTAGGTCAGAGAACCATCTCCTCCCACGTGAAACTGGAATCTGAAACTCCTCACGCAGCCGATAAGGACCACAGGCATGAGAACCGCACCAGCCCCCGCGGAAGCAGCTGGGCGTCCAGCCAGAGGGGCTCACTCGGCCGCTCACCAGGGCCAGGGGTGAGGCGGTCCAGCTGGAGGCCAGGGAGGGCGGAGCCCGAGCGGGCGGGATCACGACGGCCACCCAGTAGTAAGAGGGGGCGACCTGCACCTGTGCCTCCCCTCTAGGCGGGAAAACAAAACCCAAACCAGGGCAACCTCGGGGAGCATTCTGAACCTGGGGCAGGGGGGGTGTCTGTCAGTCTTTACAAAACAGGGCTGAAGACTGTCCTGGGCCTACAGTCGTGCTTATTTGACCAAAAACATCAACAACAAAAAACCCACAGAAAACCGCAAAAGAAACCAAAACCTTTCCCTTGTTGGAAAAAAACATAAGCAAAGCACATCCAACATAAAAGGTCTTGGCTTATGTGGCAAGAGGCACTTCTGACACCTGGGGCTGACGTCCTCGGCCCGCGGCTCCCGGGAGCTGGCCGGGCTCGGAGGAAGGTGGGTATTTTATTCAGTGCACCAAATCTCAATCAAAGTGCTACAAACTGCTTCTTTGAAAAAAGATGTTTATTAAACAATTTTAATTGTCATAAAATGACTAAAATGGGTTTTAAAAATTAAGGCTCTTCTCTTTCTGTGGATTGCCAGAACAATGTAAAAATAATATCAATCAACCCTGCTGAATGCTTTGTTCCTAAAGTTAAATTTCATAGATTCCTAAACATTTTATGATTAAGATAAAAACTGGACTAGAAATGACAATTAATGGCCGTCCATACTGAACACACACTCTGATCAGGTGTACAACATTCTAATTGAGTAGTTAAGCAAAAATATTCCAGTTAAAGCAGAAATTTTAATTTTAGCATTTTAAAGTCATTGTTTCCCCACACTGTCATGATTTTCCTAAAGTCGAAATAGTCTAATACAGGAGCGCTAACCTTGGGACTCTATATACTCCCAGGAGGGTGACTGACTTGGCTGGCAATTAGTTTGATTATATTTTTTTTTAAACGTTCTAAGTTGAATTATCAAATGATTCAGAATTACATGGCATGCAGTATCCAAAATTATGGCTCTGATGCATTTAGATTTACATTAAGAGTAAGAAGTGCCATTCACATTCATTGTACACCCCACCCTCCCGCAAGAAAAAAAATCACTACCTATTCAAGTTCTAGATCTGGTGCAGCATTAAGGATTAAAACTTACCACTTTACCAGGCCTTCCCCATGTGCAAATAAATCCCTCCTGACAAGCAGTGACTATACAGTCTTCAAGAAAAATTAACACAGTCAGTCTCTCATGTGCTATCTTTTTACAGATGAGTGGCTCTAACAAGGGAACGTCTTCCATCCGAGGACACAGGGGCGTCCCCAGGGTTTTAGCTGGGTCCGTTTTGGCTTTAGTAACCAGGTTCAGTTTGTCGCTGCTCTTGCTAGAAATGTGTCCCATGCTGTGGTTTCGCTTGTGGTCTTTCTCATGGTGCCTGTCCTTCCGGTCGTGCAGGGAGAGCGTCGCGAATTTGCTGACCCCAGCAGCGAGGGCGCCGTCGGCCACGCTGCTCTTGCTGCCGGCGCTGGAGACGGTGGAATGGGGGAGGCTGTTGGAGCGGGGCAGGGGCGGGGGCGCGGAGTTGCCGGGCGCCGCGACACTGTTCCCTGTGCTGCCGGCAGGAGGGCTCGTGGCGTTCATGACATTGGTGTGTGTCCTTGCTCTCGAGAGGGGCTGGTGAGGGAAAAGGATGTCTTCCGTGAGGTCCCAGAGGCAGAGCTGCGTGTCCTGGCCCACCGAGCCGAACCGGTACGTCACACTGACGGGGCGGCTCTCGGCAGAGTTCCGTTTGGACAGCCGGGACTGGGTACTGTTGGCCCGGTCTCGGCCAAAATGGAGGAGGTCCTGGAAGTCCTCGTCACTGCCACTGAACTCCATGGGGTCGCTCTCCTCCACGCTAGTGGTGTAGGGGTCAAACGCCACGACGCTGACCCAGGACCTGTGCCCGTGGCCTCGAGCGATCACTCGGCAGTCCCCGAAAGCCCAGACGGTCACCAGGTCGTCCTCGCCGCCCGTCACAATGTACCTGCCGTCCGGGCTCCAGCACGCGCACAGCAAGCCTCCGAAGTAGCTCTTCATTGTGCCGTGCAGCTCCACCGAGTCAAAGTCGAACACCCGCAAAAAGCCGTCCTGGCTCACGCAGGCCAGGAACTTGCCATCTGGGGAGAAAGCAAACTCGTTGAGGGCCCCCTCGCCCACTGTCCACTTAAGGAGAGGGTTCCTCGTGGATTTGCTCTTGCAAGTGTGTACGGCAAAGCTCTCGCCCTGCTTCAGAAGCTGGTAGTGGGGGGCTGTGGTGCCACAAGTGTGCTCCACGTTATACAAGTACATGCTCCCACTCGCATGGGCCACTAGGAAAAGGCTTTCCGAACCAGGAACCCATCTGACACAGGTTACGCGTGACTTGTCTATTAGTCTCTGTGAAAACAAAGGAGAACAAGTTATCACAATGGAGAAGCTTTAAAGGTCTACTTTTCCAGCAAGAAACTTGTCTGCTTCTCGGTGAGAATGGATGAGTCCATCCAGGCACCGCATGCTCTACCCCGCGGTCAGCCAAGCCAGTGAAGAGCATTTGGGCCCCTTGGAGAACTACTTTCTAGAACTGCACTGACTGTTAACAGGCCAATGGCTTTCGCTGAGAGAGTCAGGCATTCAACACCCACCGCTGAGAGCCTACTACGTGCCAGACACCATACCAGGCGCTGGGACACACCGGTGAGAGGGCCAGCCCCTCGGGCAACTTTCATCTCTTATGCAAGGAGCACCTGAGTCTGTGATTCCTGGGCCCCTACACACAGCATCCTCCCTACGAAGACCCCCAGGAAAGGCTCGTGGTCCTCACAGCCAGGAGAGCTATGCCCCCCGGCTTCTCTGCATTTTATCGTCACGTACGTCATGTGCCGTCTACACCTGCCCCTCTGCCCGGGCTCCTCCAGGGTTGGGGGGAGTCAACGTGTAGGCCCTGGCAAAAGCACACTTGCTGGGCTCTACCTCAGCCCTGGCTTCACTGCAACTTCCTCACTCAGATTCGCTGTCCCGTGTGCATCTTTAAAAGCAATTCCTCCAAATCTTCTTTGGAACAAGGCAGTATTTAAAAAAATAAACAGACGATTAATTCAGGAGGATGTGCCTAATCACTGCCACTCCACGCCATGCTAATTTCTGGTCCACTGGCCAGCTGTTCCCTTCACAGGCACAGATCAGGAGTCTTGCCTTTAAAACCAAAAGAGCAAGAGGCCGAAGTGAAAACTACCCAAAGGCACAACACGTGCACGTCCCTGTGCGCAGAGCTTGCCGTGGGCTCAGCAGCGTGGCGGCTCCCCCCTGGGTGCCCTGCTCCAGGGTGCCTGGTCCCAAAGCATATCACTGGAAGCCAACCAGAAGTTCCCCAGACTCCCAAGTTTTTAGAGGCTGCTCCTGCCAAACCCTCTCCACCGCCGTCTGCCCAGGAACCGGGTGCCTCAGGGTGAGTTCCACACCACCACTTCCCCTCCCTGGTTGGGACTCCTGGACTGAGCCTTGGGGGGCCCCAGGGCACCGACACGAACCCCCCCGGCCTGCCGTCAGCTTTGCACACCTGTGCTGAGTGTGCTGCGTCTTCACAGAAAAGCACAGAACATGAAATCACTCGTTTTTTTCCAGAGAAGAGATGGACAGACTGAACAAGCTGCAGAATAGCAGGACCTGGGCGGGAAGAGGCTGCTCAGCAGGTGACACAGCCTACTGCCCCACGGTGTTGGAGCCACAGGGCGGCACCGCCGGCCTTGAAGTCAACAGCGACACGCAAGCTGGCCTTGGGGACACAGACAACGTTCTCATCCCCTGCCTCCTTCCCTCCTACCTACGCCAATGCCAACAACCCAAAAGCCCAGCGCCCACTCTGGCAGGGTTTCCGTGAGGCCTTCACTGCTTCTTCCTCAAGAGGCTACAGAGGTAACTCACAAGGCCGGACCGGGGCTTTCATCCTGGGGGGCCTGCCTCCATGCTGTCCCTGCCGGGCCCCCAGGCTGCCCAGCCGGCCTTGGGCCCCCATGGCTCACCTGCACCGGGGGCGGCCCCCATGGCTCACCTACACCGGCAGCCAGCACCGTGGCTCTCGGCTCCTGCCCCTCACACGTCACTGCAACCAGACAGACCGCAGTCTTGCCAACAGAACACCACTGCCACGCTATCCTATGTGGAAATTTTTAAGGACGAACATCAAAACTTCCAGCACTATGCTTAGGAGAAAATTTTATTTTTGGCTTAAAGAGAAACACAAAAATAATTCCATTAGACTCTGAAATTGTAATACTGTCAAGTAAACGGTATTGTTCCGCAACTGTGAGGCGTGGAGACAAAGAATGACAACACTGTTGTGACCATAAATGTCACCGGGACAACAAAACACACTTAGAGACTTCATTCCTTATTAAACAGGTGCATGGAGACGACTATAAGCAGATACGTGGATGTAACTTATGGACAAACACCCGAGCCTCCCCTTCTGAGCCCCCGGCCAGGTACCTGGGAATCAGGGACAGCAGAGCAGGCAGCCGCAAACCCCAGCCAGCAAGGCGCCGGGACCGGCTTGGACGCAGAGGAGGCTCTCCCTGGCAGGTCGTGCGCCCCAGCGTGGCCAGCATCCGCCTCGAGTGGCACTACCCGGGGCTCCTCCAGGGCTGGGGCATGCGGCACACACAATGGGACAGCAGTGCCGACCTCCCACCGGAGGCTCCGCTCCGCGTGCCGGGTGCTGGGCAAGGGGCTCTGCACACGTGCTCTTTAACCTCAAAAGGACCCCGCAAGGCCACCTCTGGTTTGTCTGAGTAGGCAACCTATTCGTCATTCACATAAAGCGCGCATCCCTTTCCTCTGTTCCAGATCACCTGTCCCAGAGTCACCGGCACGAAGCTTCCTATTTCTCTCTCCAGAGCATCTCTGTTCACGGACAGGGCAAACGTGGAGATCAATCCATCTACCCCCGTCCTTCACACCACAGAGCACACGAGGCACCGTGCGCCCCGCCCGGCTGTCTGCGTGGGGACCGAGACCTCTCCCCTGTTCTCTCCTAGAGCTGCAGAGCGTTCACTCACACGGATGGAAACACAGTCATTTGTTTTCAAAGTCCCCACCGCTGGACATTTCCGTGGCGCACACGGCTGTTTCCCCGTGTATGAGTCCACCGCAGGGTGAAGTCCCAGTAACACAGCTGGGGCAAAAGGTATCTACATTTTAATTTTTATAGATATTGCCAAATTACCTCCCACGGGGGACAGACCACTGTTAAGACAGCCGCTGCCCCCTAGGAAGGTAGATACAATCACCGTATTACCACCAGGAAACAGAGGCTCGGGGAGGCCAGGAGACTCACCTACAGCCCCGCTCCCCCACCCGCTCGCTCAGTCATCATTCCTCCATTCTTTCTCGAATGCATTAATGCCAGGCGCTGATAAAGCACTGATTAAAACAGGCACTCCCATCCAAGCGGGAGGAGAAGACAGTGAGATCTGCAAGATCTGAGGGTGACGAGAGCTGTGGAAAAAAACAAACCAGGGGAGAAGGCACAGTGCTGATGGGGACGAGGCTGGAGCATCTTCTGATCTCAGGCGGGAGAGCCTAGCAAGACTGTGCGGGCAGCAAGGGCTAGGTGAGCGGGCTGACAGCCTCAGTGGGTAGGCCAAGAGCACGTGGGGAAGAACATCCTCACAGAAGGAGCCGTGGCGGTGAGGTGCTGAGGTGGGAGCAGAGCCAGCACTGGGCATCCCAGAGAAAGAAGGGAGCCAGAGCAGGCGAACGGACTGGGCAAGGCGGGGCTGCTACCTCCTGCACCGACAGACACCATCCAAGGCCAGGGCCACTCACATGGGTTCTCAGAAACAGGACACAAGCCTGCCTCTGACGCCACGCCTGGGCAGGAGGCACAACTCTAGGGCTAGCTAGTAGAGATTCACTGAATTTAAACAGCTCTGGTTATCATTTGGTTTGGATTTAACAAAATAGGAAGAGAAAAGAAAGCATTTCACTCCCATCTTTCTGATTAAGAAACAAATACCTGTAAACACTGTATTCGATAAAGAATGAGGCCTAGTTTCTCACCATAAAGGTGTATTTCTGTTGCTGAAAGTATCTAGTAAAAAAGGTAAAGAATCTTAGTGCCCCATGTTAAGTAACAGGATGACCCTGTTAAGCTTGAATTCTCTAGTATCAGTGGGTCCGTGATCTAGACGCACGGTGACAAAACAGCATCAGCAGAAGCCTGGCCTCTGAGGAGCTCCCGAGCAGACCCGGGGGTGGGGGGATGCTGAGAGAAGCGGGGGGTGGGAAGGACTGTGCTGGCAGTGGCTCAGGACAGAGCAGTCCCGGTGGGCGTGGGGACCCATGCAGCACTGTTTTGGCCGGAGCACCTAAGCAGCGACAGGGAATTAGGTCTGGAATTGTGAGCCGGGGCTCAGGACAGCCAAGTCTCCGGCTAAGGGGCTTTGGGTCATTACCTTGAAGCCCTGGGCCACCAATCCCACAGCCCTGAGCGCTTGAAATGTGCCTAAAGTGAGATGTGCTGTGTGTGTAATACACCAAATTCTGAAGACGTGAAAAATTATGGAAACAATCTCATTCATAATTTCATATTACATATATGTTGAGATAATATTTGGAGTATATAGAGAAAACAAAATCTTAATTTCGCCCATTTTTTGCTTATTTAATGTCCTGTTAGAAAATGTAAGATTGCGTATGTGGCTCACGCTGCATTTCTACCGGCGGTAGGGCGGCAGACACCGCCAGACCGGGAGGGAGGGAAGGCTTCGGAAAGGGGAAGTGACAGCCGGTAGAGGAATCGCCCCTGGCAGAAGGTACAGAATGGAAGATGGGAGGTGGGAGGCAGGTGGGGAGGAACCAGTTAGGAGGCTGTGACAGTTGTGTGTGGACAAAAAGGTCTGGACAGTGCCCGGCAGCAGCATGGCAAGGTGGGCTGTTAAGGGTGGCTCAGGCTGAGGGGGGGCAGGGGGCGGGGGTGAGGAAGGGGCCTGGAGCTCAAGCGGCTGCCACACACAGAGAAGGCTGGGGTGGGATTATGCCGGGGAGCAACCCAAGCGCCCTCACCTGGTAGGCGGGGGGGGGGGGGGGGGGGGGGGGGGGGGGCCCGGGGGACGAGGTCACCAGCTGAGAACAGCTGACAGCCAGAGCTGTGACCTAAGAACCCCAAGGAAGGTGCAGTGTGGAACAGGACAGGGTGGCCTCCACTCACAGGGAGCAGGAGAAAACTCAGGCGGGCAGAAGGAACATCCGAGGAAACGACCCCGAAGTCCCATGAGGAGAGGAAGGAGCTGACGCTGAGTGACCACCGTGGACCAGGAGCTCTGCGGCGTCACAACTGCCCTCCATGTCCTATGACGGAGTCTCTGAGGTTGAGGGTCAGAGGGGGGCAGTGACCCCAG